AAACGAGGAAGAGTGAGGAGCGGTGCACTGCCGCCCCTCGACACAAGGAAGGCAGGGGGGACAGGCGAGGGCGGGAGGGGAGGCAGAGACCTGGGAAGACCAGAGACAAGGAGGCGGGAGTGCATGCCACGAAAGCGTGGCAGGGACCGGTGACCAAGTCGGTAATGCCACAGGAGAGTCTCGTGCGACAGGAGGCGACACGAGCAAGGTGATGCTACCTGAGGAGGCTCGGTAGCCATGGTGTACAAACTCGACCCAGGCCGACGGGTGAACGTGGCCAGGTGACGGCCTGTCCGTGTACACATGCAGATCGACACACGCTGACCCCCAGGAGTGGTGGTAGTGACCATCGCATCCTGGAGGGCAGCGGTACTCAACAAGTTCGTAGAGAACGAGGAGAGGTGAAGACCTGACAGTGAACCGGACGGAACCGCCGGACACGGGAGAACAGTGGAGGAACGGGCAAGAACTGGCCCCCCTGAGGGGTCAGCCAGTCTGATTGGTAGAGGTGCAGAGAGAGGAGTAAGGGTGGTGCTGTCGCGAAAGAAACAGCGGGAAACACTTGAGTCAAGCGTAAAGGTGTGCAAGGCCTCAGCAGGCGCAGTACCAGGGAGAGCAGACTCACTAGCACCTAGAGCAACAGCCTCTATACCTAGGTCAGGCGGCACACACAGGTAATAGTCACCCTCAGCACTAACAGACAAGGCATACATAGCAGCAGCAAGGATAGCATCATAGTCAAGATCAAAAATAGCAACTCCAGACTTAAGCAGCTCTGCCCAGCGGGGGCGCTCGGCCTCGTCACCAAACTCTGCTCGCCAAGCTTCGTCTAGGCGGGAGAAGCAGCGGTGTTGAGTGTGAGGCTTCCTGCATATCTGACCAGCACGATCATCCGTGCGAATGACATACGGGCAGCTAACACTACCCCCAGACGCCCCACGCTGAGAAAACCACTCACGAAGCTGCTGGGGCGAAGGGGTCTCGCTCGGACGTTGCTGCTGCTGCCGCTGGCCACCGCCAGAACCTCCCCTCTGAACAGCTCCACCCCGAGTGCCACCACTCCCACTGCCGCCACTACCGCCACTCCCACCACTGCCACCACCGCCGCCACCAAAGCCCCCAATCCCGCCACCACTCCCACTGCTGCCACCACCTCCACTGCCTCTACCACTTCCACTGCCGCCCCCACTACCACCCCCACTGCCACCTCCACTACTCCTGCCACCCTTGCACTTGCTGCTGCGGCGCTTCCCACTAGCAGAAGCAGCCCCGACATCCTCAGCACCAAGGACGTCAACAGCAGCAGCAGAGGCGTAGGAGGGGGCAAGGGGGGAGGGGGAACACCCCTCAAAGAAGGGCGTGCAAGGAGTGCCACGAGCGGCACCTGCAGCGACTACACTAGTCTCAGCTGCAAGGAGGTGCTGCTCGAGCGGGTCAACAGTGAGGTCTGTGGGGTCAAGTGTGAGAAAGTGGTCCCTGACTGCGCAAAGAGAGTCAGGGAGGCGGGTGACTATGAAGTAGAGGGTGATGTACATCAGGGGGGCGGGGGGGGGGTTCCTGTCTAGGAACTCGGCTGGGAGGGCAGTGCGGTAGCGAGCATCGCTAATGCGAAGGTGGGTAACGAGGTCCTCATCCGTGGCTAAGGCGGACAGCTCGGGAAACAGGTAGGGCAGTAGAAGACGACCTAGAGCAGCAGTGGCAGGGGAGGAGTAACGGGCGACTACAGCATCGTACTGTGCTTTAGCAGTTTTGTGCTGTCCGACGTGAGCGCATTCGGCTAACGGCAGGTGGTTGCGAATGGCTAACTGAGCAGCAGCGTCACGGGTAAGCGACTGTGAGCGAGTCGCACTGTCAGCTGTGGCGGGAGGGGCGAGAGAGGCTCCAGACGTGTGGTCAAACAACGAATCCCTTTCTCTAGAGTCGCGCAGTTGGTACAGCTGTAAGTCGTCGAGCCACGTGTCGAACTGGATCGGACGGCCCTCATGATCGAACATGAGGACACGGAGAGAAGCCATAGCAGGCAGAGCAGAGTGGCGCGCTACCAGCAGAGCAGCACGCAGGCAGGACAGGGCGGCGCACGGCGAGGGTGGCCAGCAGCAGGGCGGGCGGCGAGCGAGCTGCAGGCAGGCGGGCGGCAGGGGCGGCAAGCGGGCGGCAGGGGCGGCGTAGCGGGCCTAGGAGCGGCAGGCGGGCTGCAAGCGGGCGGCGGGCGGGCCGCAAGCGGGCGGCGCGCAGGCGGCAAGGGCGGCGCACAGGCTGTAGGGGCGGCAGGCGGCCCGCAAGCGGGCGGCGCGCGGGCTGCAGGGGCGGCGGACGTGCCGCAAGGGGCGGCGAGTGGGCCGCAAGGGGCGGCTCTCGGGGCTGCAAGGGCAGCGCGCGGGGCTGCAGGGGCGGCGAGTGGGCCGCAGGGGCAATGCACGGGGCTGCAGGGGTGGCGCGCGGGGCTGCAGGGGCGACTCGCGGGCTATAGGGGCGGCGCGCGGGCTGCAAGGGCGGTGCGCGCGGCTGTAGAGGAGGCGCGCCGGGCTGCAGGGGCGGCGCGCGGGGCTGTAGAGGCGGCGCGCGGGCAGTGAGCAGGTGGCGAGCGGGCTGCAGGGGCAGCGCGCTAGCTGCAGGGGCGGCTCGTGGGCTGCTAAGGGCGGCGCAACGAGCTGCTAGGGGCGGGTAGGGCAGCTAGTTGGGCAGCTCTGTGGTGGGCCCTAAAAAAAAGGTCCTAGCGAAGGACCTGCTCTGAAACCATGTCAAATTAACGAACGAGAATGAATGAACTATGAAAGAGTTGGATTTAAGTAATAACCCTAATTGATTTGTACCCCTTATGGGCTACCCCACTATAGCCTACACAAAGTAAGCAATATAACATTTTGACAATCAACCCTAAACAAGGAAAAGGGCATTGTTTTTAGGGTTGATGCCTCCCCGAGTGGAATCATTTTCCGATAGGGTTTTGTTTTTTCGTGGGTGCAATATATTGAACAGTATTTCTCATATTAAAAAAATATTTTAGAGCATAGATAAGCGCGGTAAAAGATATTTGATTTAAATATGAACGCGTTACTAGGGCAAAAAGTTGTTATATAGACGGTTTTGCATGGAATTGCATAGGGTTACCATAATTATTTGCATGTCTATGATGTTGGCCCATCACGAATCCCACCAGCGAACACCTGTCCCACCTGTCCATTCTGCTGTGCGGAATGACGACTTTCAACGTCTTTCTTTCTGTCCACCACTCAATCACTGTCTGCTTGATTTCAGCAGCCTGCTCAGGCTCAGTCACCGTCTCCGAATCATGGCATTTCTCACACCAGCTTGATCTGTGCTGGCAGCGACGTCTCTGTAGGAGGATTCAATCTTGCAACAGGTTTGGCTTGGCTGCTCTGTCGCACGCGTTCCACTTGAACTGTGATGCCATTCGCAAAGCTGACTTCTAGAATCTTTAAAGCCGTTGGCCCAAATTGCACAAGTTTAAAAAGTTGACGAGAGGGAGTTTTACTGGTCTGGGTTCTGGCGAATGTTTCCGATTTCGTAATTTTTTATTTTCTTTTTTTTCGCCAAACCTAACCAGCCCCGCGTTTTTACCCAGGTGGGTGTGTCAGACTTCGAAAGTTCCAAATTGCAGCTGCACTACTTTTCAAAGCTTGCACAGTCCACTTCGTCAAGTTTCAAAAACTTGACCCGCACGGTCCGAAATTTGAGCTGCGGGCTTTAATGTGTTCTAGAAGCTCTGCGTTACATCTGATGCGTTGCGAGTCGCTGAAAACGAGCGCACTGCATGCGGTTCATGGTTGATCTGTATGTCACATCCACAGCATATGCTGTGCTTGTGTCACTTTTTAGATTCTCAAAAGTGACACAAGAGTAGTCAATATGTCACTTGACAGCATGCGCCGGGCCCTACTGGTGGAAGACGGTGACCTTTGAGTAGACTCGTTTTCAAGGTCATCAGCGTGTCACATGATCACATCACATCGCAGCTGCATCCTGTCGTACTGGTGGAATGCACCACAGCTACTGTACTTTTACGCGAGTGTTAGTCACCTCGCTGTTTGATGTTTAATACTAGAGATCAGATCTCCCACATGCTGGTACTATGATTTGCATCCCGCGTGCTGGGCTGGATCTGCAAGGTGCGTGCTTGCAGCTTCATCCCAGCTAAGACGTCATCCCAGGAGCATGTGATTCGTGTGGGATCGCCAGACTAAAATCATGATTTCGAATCGACTCAAAAGTCAAGATTCATGTGGTATCTTCCATGATCGGTTTATGATTGACACAATTCACGCTTTCCTTGACTATTCACGAGAGCATACCTTTCTGGAAGCGCCGTTGCACGGTTGACACCTAGGCCGACGATGCTGCGTGTGAGCGACGGAGGCGGTACACTCTGGTAAAATGGGGAACGCGCTTGGATCCAGTTGGTGCGGCATCCCAGAATGTAACCTAGTCAGCTTGACTCTAAATTTGAGTCAAAGACAACCGCGTTCTTTCTACAACGCTGGCAGATGAAACTCAAGCTGAATTTTTTTTTTCTCCACCCGTATCTGCCTGCCGTGTCCATCTAGCTTCTTGACAGAGCTCCTTAGATTGACAGTACTATTAAGCCGCGCCAGTGGTGGCTCGAGGATTTTTTTTTTGATTTTTTTTTTTTTCCGTTGGCGCACGAGTGCATTCTGCTCAACTCTGTCCACTTTGTGAGGCGCGTCAGAAATCGTCTACTATTTTCCCTCACTGCGCGAGTGTTTTCTGCTCGATTTGCCACGACTGAAAGGAAAAAAGCGACTCGTCAGATGTTTTCACACACGATGTTTTCCCTTGAGATTCGATCAGCCGGAACAGCACAATGGTGGTTTTTCTTACGAGAATTCCAAGTTCTGGCTTTACGATTGCTGTCTGCATGAGCCCTTCCCAGGAACTCCAGCACCGCCACCATAGCTACTAGTAGTAGTAGAAGTGCGGTTACCAGGAGGTACAGACTTTTTGCAAATAGTAGGAAAATCATGGCGTCACGCTTCGTCGCGTCAACCCACCCGTTCCATCCCACCTATCCCGCGTACCTCTCGACCTGCGTGGGACCGGACTTTCCAGACGAGAGCGCCGGGGACACCACGAGATATGATGTCAGCGACGAGAACGATAGCGTCGGCTGCAGTAACGATGATAACGTTAAGGAGGGCACCTGCATCGAATACGATTGCAACGGTAACGAGGACAACGGTAACGAGGACAACGGTAACGAGGACAACGGTAATGAGGACAACGGTAACGAGGACAACGGACTGTTGGACTCTGAGTGGGCGCGTCACCTCATCGCATCGCAGTGGAACATCCGAATCGGCGTCGTCCCGCAAGAAATGATCACCGGACAGAGCTTCGCGGCTGTGAATGGCGCGGCTGTCACCGGCGATTGTCGCAGAGTCGTTACAGAAGGCTGTTGCGTCACTGCGCACGGCGTTTCGACAACCCTCTCCGATGGTGTAATCCCGGGTGGTGCAGTTCTTTTGATGAAGCAGCTTCTTTCTAAGCAAGAGGAGCGGAGAAAGGTTCCTGGCAGTCGTTGTGACGGGGGAGCAGCTGCCGTGGTTACTACATCGACCCATGTGGCATCAAAGGCATCACGGCTGACAACTGCCATGACGTCTGAGAGCCATGGGTGTGCTACTGCCGGCAGCTGCCGTGGGAGCAGCCATGGAACCTGTGTAGGCGTGGCTTCTGAGCATCACTCGGCGTCTCCTTCATGTGCATCTGCTCTTGCTTCTCCCCTTACAAGCACGCGTGCTGATGTCAAACCTGGCTGTGGCAATTTCAAACCTGGATACTGTACCTTACAGCAACAGCAGCAGCAGCAGCAGCAGCACTACCACCAACAGCAGCGACAGCAGCAGCAGCAGCAGCAGCAGCAGCAGCAGCAGCAGCAGCAGCAGCAGCGGCGGCGGCGGCGACGGCGACGGGGGCGGCAGCAGCAGCAGCACCACCACCACCAGCAGCAGCAGCGGCAGCAGCAGCAGCGGCAGCAGCAGCAGCGGCAGCAGCAGCAGCAGCAGCAGCAGCAGCAGCAGCAGCGCCAGCAGCGCCAGCAACAACAGAACCACCAGCAGCAGCAGCAACAGCAGAACCAACAGCAGCAGCAGCAACAGCAGTACCACCAGCGGCAGCAGCAACAGTTAGAGCTCAATAGCCTTTCTCTCAGTCCGCCAACCACGTGCTCTTCACGAGTTCACAACGCACATGGCTTCTTCCCTCAGCACAGTGGGGGGAGTGGTTATGCACACGGTGGGGGAAACGCCGTGCACAGTAGGGTAAGTAACCCACACAATCTGGGGCGCATCGGAACCGTAGCCAGCACGCGGCTGAGGCAGCTCACCACCACAGCAGCTGCAGCAGCAGCAGCGGGCAGAGCCGTATCAAGTGCACCTGCAGATTTCCCCACAGCAGCAGCTGCCGCAGCAGCCGTGGCAGCAGCCCACCCCTTAGCATTTGCACCGAAGCCTGGCAAGTTGCAGCAGCAGCGCCAGCAGAATGGAGCCAATCCTCCCTTCTCCCCAAGACAATCCGCCTGGCAGGAGACTGAGGAGGGGTTTCAGGATTATTTTCGGCAATCGATTCAGGTTCAGCGCTGTTCACGTCCTGGCCCAGCCACTCGCTCCACTCCCAGTACGCCCTTTCTCTCCAACTCGAGTTTCGAAGCTTCTCTAAACTCCCCTCCCAATACGCCCGTTCTCTCCCCATCACCACCGCCCTACCCGCGCACGCATCCGCCTGTGGGGGCGCGCCGCTGCTCACACTCCAACCACCTAGCCACGTCTTTCAGTGACCAACTGCTCATTCACGCTGCACTGGAAGTTGCTCTCTCGCCCTCCCTTGCCGAGTGTGTGGATAGCAGAGAGTGTGAGGATACCAGAGGGTGTGTTCGGCACATGCTCACGCACGAACAGAGGCAACGTGAGGAGCTTAAGCATGAAGTGAGCCAATCTGCATGCCCTGTGAACAACAGCCCCCGAGCAAGACATGAAGTAGCTTCAGAGTTGATGCAAACGTTAGTCGCACATCCTGTAAGCACCCCTCATACCAACCGGGGTACCGTGCCGACAAGCCCGTCACCGAGTCCACTATCGAGTCTGCCTTTATCGAGTCCGCGATTGTTGAATCGCCAGCAGGCTAGTACTGGCCCGCAATCTGCGAGGCAGCAGTCAGCTAACCAGGAGCCCAGTAGTAAGCCAGGAGCCCAGCAGACACACCTGTACAGCGTCTCACCTCCATCCCCGACCACCTTCACCGCTGCTCTCTGCCGAGGTCTGGACCGAACACGATCGTTCAACATCCCACCTTCCATGCTGCAGGCGCCCTCAACCGACGCACCATCCCCTGTGCTGCATCACTTGTCAGGCCATGAGTGGTAGGATCAGCACACCGGGAGAAGAAGCTTTGACTCAGCTTGTAAGTCGCTTGGTCTGCTGCGAGCGCATGCGCCCTCTCTGCGCATGCCGTCGCCCGTGCTGCTGCATCATTCGTCCGGCCATCCGTGGGAGAACCACCCCGCTGGGAGAAGAAGCTTCGACTCCGCTCGCAAGTCGCTTGGTCTGCTGCAGAAGGAGGCGCCTTCATTTGACATGCCATCGCCTGTGCTGCATCATTCGGCAGGCCACCCATGGCAGAACCACTGTGCTGGAAGAAGAAGTTTTGAATCTGCTCGTGTGTCACTTGGCCTGCATTCCCATGCCGTGACTGCTTGTTCCAGCTTCAAGCTCACCAGCCGCAGTAGCAATTCGCTCAGAGTGTGCACCGAGGCTGCTGATATTCAGCCCAAGGGACGAAATGACAGCAGTGGAAATAGCAGCATTCGCAGTAGCAGTGGTAGGGGCATGTGCAGCAGCTGTGTTAACAGTAGCAACGGCAGGGTGCCATTGCAAGGCAGCAGCCACTACTAGCGCATGGCTGTTGCAGTTGACCTCCTTCAGCGTGCCCTCAGCCAGTGCAAGCATGAGCCACAGACAGGAATACGGTATCAGTAATCCAAGACAAGACTGGGCTTGAATCTGTGAAAATATAGCTCCCTGCATCCTGCTTCTCTACCAAAGATGCCACAGAGGCAAGCTAACTGTTAACTCATGCCACTTGCTATGGTTTATTTACAGGCTTAAAGCAGTTTGAAGGATTATAAAACTATCAATATCCACAGAACTCAACAATTCAGAATGGTTTCTCTATGTGATACTGGGCAGATTCCTGTCATTGCTGCAGCTCATTTGTGAAGGGAGTGGTGGTAGGTGATGTTTTTGTTGGATTGTGAACTCTAGAAAATTCATGTGGCATTGTTATACAGTTGAATCTGTTGGGCTGAAAAATGCCCTTAGGATCTTTGCAGGGCAGAATTCAAGGGTAGGATGATGTAGTAGCGGAAGCGTTTAATGAAAAGATTGTGAACCACCTTGCGCTGGTATGTGAGGGCAAAGTAAGTTAATAATAACAAAAACATACAAGCTTTTATATGATTACCAGGAATATGAAAAGTTCTATTTTAACTGTTTTGCTGTTGCGGTTCGATACAGTGCCGACTCGGGTAACTGTTCTGTAACGAATCAGTTATATGTCCTTGCTGTCGCACTGTACGTTTCGTCAGGTCAAAGGTCGGGGACCTTTGACCTTCGCGTAACCTCCGACAGTTGACTCGCGTGATACTTCGCTGTAGTTAGTTCCGTTTGTGTCTTATCTTCGATGCGACAGAGGCGCTATAAATCATTTGTTTCCAACACTCCCCTTTGCCTCTGGAGTGTCGCTGCAGGTGACGTGGCTCTGTCCAGTCAGCAGCATGCAATATTCGAACTTCGACTTTCCGAGCTTCTTGGTCAAGTAATCAGCTGCCATCTCGGATGTGGGGCAGTAAGACAGCTCAAGTCTTCCCTTCTCGATCTCGTCCTTTACGAAGAAATATCGCAGGGCGATATGTTTCGTCCTGTTCGCGAATCCATTTTTGTTGGCGATGCGAATTGCCGACTGGTTGTCGCAAAATAGGGAGAAGTTGGGTAACTGGGCCAGTTTCGCTTCCTCCAGGAGTTCGCGAAGATACAATCCTTCCTTGGTGGCTGAGCAGAGTGCAATATATTCAGCTTCAGCTGAGGAGAGGGCGATTAATTCCTGTTTGCTCGACTGCCACGAAATAGGTCCGATAGGCTCGAGACGGTAGATGTAGCCTGTGCGCGAGCGCCTGTTGTCAGAATCTCCGGCGTGGTCGGCGTCGACGTAGCTGATTAGCTTGGGCGTTGTAGTTACGTTTTTGTAGTAGATCAGGCCGATTGTCGGAGTGCTTACGAGGTAGTGTAGAGCACGATCGAGCTCCTTCATGTGTTCGTCTTCAGGCCTTTTGAGGTAGGTGGCGAGTTGGCTTGCTGAGTATGATAGGTCTGGACGACAGGTGACGGCCGCGAAGAGAAGGCATCCTAGCTTTCTCTGGTAGTTGCGTATGTCGGCGGGTTTCAGTGGAGCAGATTCTGCCTTATCATTTCCTGCCGTGTAGCGGTATGGCGTAGAGATGGTAGTTGGCGTGAGTGCGAACCGTTTGGCGATGGTGTCGGCATACTTTGCGGCGTTGAGATAGATCGCGTCTTTTCCTTCTTGGATGTTGAGGCCGAGGTACTGCGTGACGGTAGATGAAACCGTGAGCGTAAGATCTCTCTGTAACTCCTCTTCAAACCAGGTAGTAACACTGTCGGTTGACCCGATGTAAAGTAGATCGTCTACGTAGACGATTAGTAGAATGTAGTCGTTGCCTTTCGTAAGCCGGTACATTCCTTGGTCGTGCGGTAGCTGCCGGAATCCGATGCGGGTGAGTCGAGCGTGTAAGTACTGCTGCCACAGTCTCGGGGCCTGTTTGATCCCGTACAAGGACTTCAGTAGCTGGCAGATTTGGTTAGGTTCTCCATGGGAACCGTGTGGAAGTTCAACGAAGATTTCTGCGTCGACAGGTGCGTAGAGAAAAGCATTGGCAACGTCGATTTGCCGCAGCTTCTTTTTCTTCATAGCGGCGACCGCGAGAAGAATCCGTAGTGAAGTGTGTCTGCTGACTGGAGCGAATGTCTCGGTGAAGTCACGTCCATGCTCTTGGTCGAAGCCGCGTACGACCCAGCGTGCCTTGAACTTATCGATGGTGCCGTCTGCCTTTGTCTTCACACGGAAGACCCATTTCCCGGTGAGTATTGTCTTGTTTCGTGCTACGCCGATAGGAACAACTTTCCAGGTGTTGCGCTCCTGTAGTGCTTTCAGTTCTTTGTCCATGGCTTCACGCCATTTTTCCCTATGCTCCCCCCCCAGAGCCTGCTGAACTGTGGCAGGCTCCTTAGGAGTATCGGTGCCGTGGACCGCGGTGACGAGACCAAGTATCTGAAGGCCACTCTGTGTGTAGCGGGGGAGTGTTGTGTCCGCGGGATAAGCTGCTTCGTCGCCTGCTTCTGGGTCAGGTATGAAGTTGGGCCCTATGCGTTCTGCTTCGTTGGTGTTGACTTCTGCAGGTGTAATGTAACCAGTGTCGGCGAGGTCGAAATATGTTTCGGCGTTGACGCTTTCGCGAGGATTTTCGTCATCCATCGGGATGGGCACGGAGCAGTAAGGGAGTGGTCCTGCTTCATCCGAGGCATTATCCACGTTCTGCTCGTCCCAGTCAGCTTCGTCTGCTGCTGAGGCGAAGTGTCGGTCACCATGGAAGCCTCCTGTGGGATCCCGATTTTCTTCCAGGTTGGCAAGGTATGTCGGAAGGGTGAGTCGTTTGTAGAAAAGGACGTCACGTGCTGCTACTGTTTCTTTGGAGTGGACGTCGAAAATCTTCCACGCGTTGAAATTTCTTTCGATGCCCAGGTGTAGTCCCCACTGTGCTCGTTGGGAAAATCGGCCGGCTCGTGCAGATGGGGGTCGGTACTGTACCATGCAGCCAAAAACTCTTAACATTTTTGTGCTGCCCTGTTTTCCTGTCCACAGCAGATGCGATGATGCGTTGTTCGGTAATGACGACGATGAAAGCAAGTTGTGCAGCATGACAGCGTGGTCCATCGCTTCAGGCCACTGGTGATTGGGCAGTCGCATGCCACGCAGTAACTTGCGCATGGTGTTCTGGAGAGTTCGATTCATCCGTTCCGCCACGCCTTGCTGTTGATGGGCGTAAGGAAGCGAGATGAGCCTTTTGATTCCCTTTTCTGCCAAGAACTGCTTGAACCTCTGTGAGGTGTATTCTCCTCCTCCGTCTGACTGAAAGCTTTTCAGTTTCTCGCCTGATTCTCGTTCTGCTACTGGGAGCCAAGCGATGAAGGCTTCGAAGGCCATGTCCTTGCTCGGAAGATTGAGGTGCCAGACGTAACGTGTAGCTGCATCGATGAACGTGATGGTGTAGCTGTATGCTCCTTGTCCGGGTTCGTGATTGTACAGGATGTCGCTGTACACCTTTTCAAGTGGTGCGTAAGCTGGTGCTCTGGGGTTGTGGTGAGAAGTGAAAGGTCGATGCGGTAAGTCAGCTTCGGGGCAGGTAAAACACGTTCCTCGCGCTCGTCGAAGTTCACTTCCGTCCGTTAGGAGTAGTGAATCCTTGTGGAGTACGTCTGCTCTGATTGTATTGTTTAACACCGTGTTGCTTGGGTGTCCCATTCGTGCGTGCCAGATGTCTTCGCTAGCGCGATGTCCGGGTGAACGACGATACAGGTCGGAGTTGGAGTAAAAAGCGGCGGTGAAGTTGGCGCTTCTGTGAACTTCGCGAGGAGTAGGAGTTAGCTGCTGCGCAGGAGTCGGTGAAATGTTGTCGATGTGTGGCGATGTTGAAGAACTTGCGACTGG